TTCCCTCTCATACTTCTCCTCCAAGTCACAACCCCCTCCCAGACCTTGCACCCAATTTCCTACCCCTGGTCACAGTCCAAATCCCTGCACCCCTCCTGATCTCCTGCCCCAGGTCACAGCCTCCTTACAGACCCTGCACTCCCTCTTGCACCCCTCCTCCAGGTCACATTCCTCTCCTGCGCCCATACCCCCTCCCAGACCCTGCACCCCAATCACCTTCCTCAGGTCGCAGCCCTCTCTTCGACTGTACACCCCCTCTTCCAGATCAGAATTCTCTCCTGCACCCATACCTCCTTCTGGACACTGCACTCCCTCCTGCACCCCAGTCCTCTTCCTTGGGTCACAAGCCCCTCCTTCACCCAAACTCCCTTCCAGATCTCTCATACCCCTCCTGTACTTCAGTCCCTTACTCCAAGCTCCCTTCTGCACCCAACTTCCATCCAGACCCCACACCTCCTTCCATTAATATCATGGAAGAGTGTAACCCTTGACCACTTACAAATTCTTGGAGTGGCCCCCATCAAAAATCATTATCCACCATGGAACCAAAGAATGCCACATGAATTGCTTCAGAGTCTAGCCCACATGATCCAATTATGCCCCAACTCCCTGAAGGGCAATTGACTGTTTTAAGACTAATGAATGAAGAAAAACAGACCTAGTTATTAGCAACTGATGTAGAGCTCCTCTAAAGTGTCAGGTAAGTTTCTTTGGTATTGTACTTTTTAAGTGACTTCTCCATCACAGCATAAAAATTTCTACAGAGCTATGAAAGGATCACCCTACTACTGTTTTCTTGCCTCAATTTTTCTGAGAGCTTGAAAATGTATAAAAGTAGTCATTTAAAAAAACAAACCCTAGATTGCCTTCCCCTTTATGAGGGTTCTGGAACATAAGCTAGATATAGTAGCTAGTGCGGAGGAGTGTAGTATATTTAGAATTTGGATAAATTGCAGAGGTGATGGTGCAATCTGCACCATTTCTGATCTAAATGCAATGCAAAGAATTTTTGGAAGTGCATATATCTGGAAAAGTAGAGCAGAATTACCCCACACCTTGGAGACAACGTTAATCCTCACAAAATTGGATAAATTAGAACAATGAGATTTGAAGAATACAAATTGGGATTGAGGAGAGCAACCAAAAGCGTTATCAATTTTTCTCCTACTCTGGTATCCTGTGAGCAATTTCTCTCAACTGAGACTTGAACCCTGGACCTTCATATCCCAAAATATAGCTCACTTACCTACCACCTGTTTAACTTGAGAACGACATTGCAGAATTCTGTTATTCTGTCCTTTCCACCCTCATTTTGTTTACTCCAGCTGCATATCTTGTTTTAAACTAAGCTTGTAAACTCTTTGGAGCAAGGACCATCTCTTATCTCTGTAGATAACTCACAGGGTCCTGATCTGGTTTGGACATGTAGGTGCTACGCTAATATTGCCATTGATCGCTGAGCTGTTGTTACCAAATTCTCTCTACGTTTTTACAGATGTCTTCTGGCATGAACTGCAACATCCTTGTTGTTGTGACTCATTGTGGTTTGATGTTGCTGTTACATTATTCTGCTGTTTAATATGCTTGACAATTCTATAAGTGAGGAGGAAATAAGTGTACTTGTAGGATGTTAAATGTTGAGCTGCCATGAATGAACATTTTTTTGTAGAGTTAAAAACAAAATGAAACTTGAAGAGACTATTGTAACAAGTAGTAAAAATAGAAAAATGTTCTTTGAAACAGGATGTTTTTAAGGTCCTCCTTCCCACATAGATTTCATGAGAGGGGTTTAACAGTGCTTGGGGAGTAATAATTTGTCACCACTTTAGTTTACCTGTATTTGAAAAACAGAAGTGCTGTTGTAATGTTATCATAGAAGTGTTTTTGTTTTGTTTTAAAGTTTAGGGTTTTTTTTTAACAGGATATACAGGAGAGTATATGTCCATAGTATTTTGGGATTACAAAGCACACATCTCTCTATATACAGGCAGTCCCCAGGTTACGTACAAGATAGGGACTGTAGGCTTGTTCTTAAGTTGAATTTGTATGTAAGTCGGAACTGGTACATATTGTAGGGGAAACTCTAGCCAAACATTTCTCCAGAGCTCAGTTTTATTCTCCCACACCTTACTTCCCTCAGTCCTTTATTCTCAAGCTGAGGTGTCTGCTGAGAAAAGCCGCTCCACGTCTCCCTGGTCTGCTGGGGGGGAAGCAGTCTCCCTGGTCTGCTGGGGGGAAGCAGCTAGTGCGGGGTTGCCTCACCCTGTTTGTAAGTAGGGATCCGATGTAAGTCGGATCCATGTAACCCGGGGACTGCCTGTATTTAAAAAAAATTCCTGTGGGATGACAAAGTGACATTGTCATGTCACTCTGCGTCCTGCCTGCCTCCTCCCTCTCTTCCCCCACTCCTCTTCCCCCTCTCCCAGCTCAAGCCCTATCTCACTGCTTCCCCTCAACACTTGGAATTGCTATTTTAAACCAAGGCCCTACTCCCCTTCCTCCACCCCCAACCCTACCCCTACCCCACAGGGCTTTCAATGCCCAGAAATATGGCACAGTAGCCAGTAGATCCTACATCGCATGCTCCCCAAGGGCATGGGGGAGGTTACGGTGCTTGGAATAGCAGCCCAGGACAGGTGCTAGGAGCAGGGCTCCCAACTGGTCTTATGTGCTGGCAGTGAACTCTTGGGGGTTCCCCCATTGCCAAGCTTTTAGGGAGCTAGAGCATGGCACCCAACTGCCCAGAGTCTGGCTGCCCCCACGGAGACTCACCCCCTCCCCAGCAGCTGCATTTACTGCATCTGCCAGAGCATCCCTGAGCCACCCGGAGGAGCCACTGTACTGACCTGTCTGCTCCTTCCCTTCTGTTCCTAATGGGCAGAGCTGGGGCAGTGAGCATTGCAGGTGGGACCACATGGGGAAGAAGTTGGAACAGAAGCCCCCCATACTGCTCCTTTCCCCACCTCAGCAGGCTGCAGTGCCCCAGAGTGCCGTGTACACACACAGCACTACCTGTACCTTATTGCCCCACAGAGAGTGGGCAGGCGCCCCTCTGCCTTCGTGGCCACTGGGGTTAGAACCGGGCCTGGCATGTGATGAGGCTGGGGAGGGGTTAGGGTTGCAGGGGGAAGAGAATGGGCCTGGGTTGGCGGGGAAGGGAGAAGGGGCCCGGGCTGGCATGGCAGGAGAAGGGGGCAAGAAGGTCCAAGGCTGGCATAGCAGGGAAGGGAGAAGAGCCCGGGCGAGCGAGGGGGGGGGGAGAGGGAGGGAGAAGGGACCCAAACTGGTGTGACTGCAGCCAAGCCCTCCCCGGAGTTCAGAGTTGGAGCTGGGGTTGCCTACCTCCTGCAAGAGGAGGGTTAGCGAGCACAGCGAGCAGAGGGTACGACCCCCAGTGTTTTTACAAAAATACTGGTTGAGGCTATTCAAAGAACTGCTTGCTGTTTTAAGCCTTCAGAACCTGAATTTTTTTTTTACCTGTGTGAATATGGATGCTCTTAAGACTTGCTTGACTTAAATGCTGTCTCTGAACAATCAAAATAGTGTAGTGTTGCAAGCAAAGAGTCCTGGCCCGCAAACTCTTTCACACACAAGTAAATTGACTCTTCAGTATGATTAAGCTTGAGAATACTTGTGTAACGATACTGACAATTAATAACCATTTGAAAGATTATGACCTGATTCAGCAGTATATCCAGAGAAGAACTTTGAGGCAATTGGGGACACAAAGGGCTAGGATTTTAGTTGAAAATGAGGTCAGAAGCAGACTGAAGAGAATGCTAGCCTATAATACTGAAGCTCATGGTTTGTGTACTATATTTCTATCTTTTGCTATTAAAACCAGTTGTAGCGGAAGAAAGTATCAAGTCTTTTTGTATTAATATTTTGTATTGCTCCTGAGGTTCTTAAAAGTAAATGTAAATGTATTTACAAGCTGTTGCTCTCAAGTAATCTTTGTTCAAGAAAATAATAAATGAAAATAGATTGGGGTAGACTATTGAATCTTTTTCCACTCACTCCTCACCAGTAAAAAATTAACTCCAGAGCTTTGTCTGCAGTAATTGTCAGTTCTGCTTTCCTCACCAATTAAATCAGGACTGCAGAGGGGGGGAGGACTACAACCTGTTTCCCAGTGTCTCTATATAGACACCCTGCTGCTTTTGCCCCTGACCTACATAAAAACATTTAAGCAGGAGAACTACCTGCTCCTGCTGCCTTATGGAGCAGTATCTCATACTATGAGAGGGCCTCAAGGCAATAGGCTTCTGAAGGTGGGGAGGGTTGTAAAACCCTCTTAGACAAATATTTTTTTAACGAATTAATTTTGCTCTGTTTAACCTTCATCTTTTTTTAATATGAGGATTAGGTTTACAATATTTTTAATATAGTTAACAGAATGTACAGTACACTTTTATTGCTTTCTAATCTAATCTCTATAATTATATTAAAGCCATATTTCCAGGGTTTTTTTTTAATTAGAGCAATTTGTAATCCTGTAGAAATACTGCTAGCTATTTGAAGTGTTGAAAAATAGAAAACGCATCAGATTCCTTTCAGTCTTTTTGCTTTGAAATTGCTGGGGTGTGATGGTTAGAGGGAAATAAGGTCCCAATCCTGCAAATATACATGAGTAATTTTATGCACATAAGTACTTCCCTAAACTCAGTGTAACTACTTTAGTGCAAAGATACATGCAAGAATTTTTCTGTGCAGAATTAGAGACTTATTTTATAGGAAGAGAGAGGTCATGAAATATGAATTATCCATATTTTCACTAACATCACATGTATTGAGAACCTTCTCACTACACACATCAGTTTTTGAAGTATGTATTTACATGCATGTGTAGACAGTACTAACTGTTTGAACATATTGCCCAAAGATGAGATCAGAAAATAGTGCAGAAAGTTTGTCTCTTACATGGTGAATTCAGTATGTTAAGGTAAAATAGTAGCTGGCAGTTGAATGAAAAACTCATATTTGCTGTTTGTTTTATTTAGACACCTAGCTGTTGGGCAGAAGAGGGTTTAGAAAAGAGATCACATCAACGTTCAGCATCATGGGGGAGTGCTGATCAATTAAAGGAGGTAAGTAGTTTTGTATGAGGTGGGTACTTATCAGGTCCAATTGTAACTATTTTTTTTTTAAGTTTCAAGCTGCTATTTTGGAGCCTGGAAAGTCTTTGTGCACATATCCTATTCCCATCACTCTTACAGGTTCAGACCTCAGTTCAAGCCAGAGTGGTTTCAGGGCGGCTTTGTTTTGTGCCAGCTAAACTCTCTCTCCCCAGCTCAACTTTTTGGCCCTGGAGGAGAAGCATGAGTGGATGGTGTAGAGAGAGATTTGCCACTTAGGAATTTTTCCTGTTCAGTGAACATCTACAGCTGCCTCTTTTAAATCAATTCATTCCTTTACACCACTCAGGTGTCACAAAGAGGATGATGCATGGGTCAGAATCTGGGCCGTTTAATTTGAAATTCCAGTGAATATTTTTGGACTGAAAATAGAGAGCAACCATCTCATATAATAGGGAAATAAATCACTTTGTGTACAGCATTGATGTGATTGTACGTGGAATATTTGGTTTAGTTCCAGGCATCCTATTAGCAGAAATATTGACAAGTTGGCGGGAATGTAGCAAAAAATTAGTTGTTTGAGGCTTTGACTCATGGAACGTAAATAGTAATAGGCTAAGCAGCAACTAAAGGAGTGGATGTAAATGTGGAAATACTTGAAAGTTATAAATATCAGATATAGTTGGAGGCACCCTTGGTTCATTAAGTGGGATCCCAAGCCCATATGCATGGGAGAACCCTGCGTGTTTCCCCCTAGGCCCAGTCCTACTCAGTTATCAAACAACACCTTTATCTATGCAATGACAAACCCGCAGTTAGAATAAGGATTCATTCAGGAGTCCCTAAGGTGCCACATATGTTTCTATCTACAGAAGTGGCACAATATACTGAGCATCCAGTATAATTAGAGAAACATGCTCCAACCCACTTAAACAGCTAAACAAACTGTAGCCTCAGTGTCTTACTCTCAGACAGTGTACCTTTTGCCTCGTGTGTTAGTTATTGATGCTTGGATGTAGTGCAAGTTGAGAGGGGGAATCCCATTCCTTCAGCATTGTCTTTATGCATGCCTCTCCATGTGGTTACAGTGTTGGCCAGAACTCCTTTGTCTAGATTACACTTTCAGCTTGGTTGGGGCTATGTCGCTGGTCTACTTCCTGGCTGATCCATCATACTACCACTGTTGGGGTCTCTGTGATTCCTGTATTAGATATTACAGATCTGTGTGTGAGTCCCTATTAAAGATATAAAATCCCGTTTTAATTGGTTAAACATTATGTTTAACTGTTTAACTGATTGAAGAGAGTGGGGGGGGGACACTGCTCCCCCACCTTAAGAGGTAAGGTTGGAGCTGCCTCCCTGCTGCAGGCAGGGGCACCTGGGCCTACTGTGGACAGACACTGCTCTGGACGACGGAAGTAGCCCATCTCTATGGCAGGCCTCCCCACGGACCTAGAGCAGCTTCCTATCCGTGGCAGGTGGGGAGCTGGTCCAACCCTTCACCTGTTAATGGTTAACCAGAATCTGTAGCACCACCATTAAGGTTTTTTAGATGAAGGAAATGCAGTGGATCTAATCTACCTCGACTTTAGTAAGGCATTTGATACAGTACCACATGGGGAATTATTGGTTAAATTGGAAAAGATAGGGATTAATATGAAAGTTGAGAGGTGGATAAGCAACTGGTTAAAGGGGAGACTACAGCAGGTCATACTGAAAGGTGAACCGTCAGGTTGGAGGAAGGTTACTAGCGGAGTTCCTCAGGGATCAGTTTTGGGGCCAATTTTATTTAATCTTTTTATTGCTGA